GGGGGGGGGGTCAGTTTTCACTGTAGGTCAGTAGTAGCAGAATCCTTTGAAATACAAACTGTAGCTGAAGATCTACCTCCATCTGTGTCTAATCTCTCTCAGGTGAAAATAATGATTTTTCACCTGCGAAGCAAAATTGTTTTCCTAGCTCTTTTTTTCAGGGGGTTGCCCAGACAGAAGTCCATTACAATTGTAAAGTAGAAGCGAGCCCTACAAACGTATCCAGAAAAGATCTAGCTGTATTCAGGCATGCTTCTCAGTGCTGTGATAACTGATCCTTTCTTTGAAGCTTGCCACCTTCCTTTGACAGTACCATGCTGTATTTCCATAGGGAGAGAGCTCCCGAGGAGCTTCATTAATTTGTGCGTTCCTAAACTTAAGTAGCTCTGTTGAATTTAAATTGGCATTTTCTCTTGCAGGCTTGCCTGTTGCAATTCCAAACTTGGGTCCCTCCTTGAGTTCCTTGCCCTCTGCTCTGTCTCTGATGCTCCCAATGGGTATTGGGGATCGAGGAGTGATGTGTGGTATACCAGAGAGAAACTACACCCTACCTCCGCCACCATACCCTCACCTGGAGAGCAGCTATTTCAGACACATTCTACCTGGTAAGTTGTCTGGTGGTGATGGAGGGGAAAAGAAAGAGAAACTGTTTTAAGAGCCACCTGTTTCTGTCCTGAAGCAGGCAAGACTGACTGTTTTGCAGAGCTGTTATTTCCATACCTTTGTCTGGAGGCTGTTGTGTCATTTATACACCTTTATTTTCAGGTATCTGTTTCTGTACTTGTGAATGAAGAGAATTGCAGGGTGTTTTCTATTTAAAGCAAACCTTTGATTGCTACTCCTGCTTTGGTTTTAAGATTAACAGAAAACAAAGCATGCCTGGGTTCTGTCTCCAGTGTCTTACAGTTTGAAAGCTGCTTCTATTTTTCTTCTCCTATAGACTGAAGCAGTACTTAATATGTGCATAACGGTAGGTCACAGCAGTTCAAAGCTCAGAAAGGGCAAACCATCAGCTGAGGAGTTTGGGCTCTTTCCCACCTGTTTAGCCCATGGCACATTTTTTCTTTGTTGTTGTTCAAGGTTGATTTCCAAAGGCCTAACATGCTGACTTGTATCTTGATTCCTCTCATGTGTGCTTTAGATATAAATGTAGAATTTAACATGTTAGTATGTGAAGACACAGAAATCGGAGCTTTAAATATAGTCCTTGCTTTGTTTTGTAGCTAAGATTGGCAGGGTGGAAGGGTAGTTAAACTTCTTCAGGGTGACCCAGTGGGTGTTGTTGGTTCAACCTAGGTTAGGGGAAAAAGCTATAGCAGCCCAGATCTCATCCAGCTTCCTGTTGACTAATGGCTGAATTTTCCAGCTGCTTAGGAGTACCCTTTCCTACTGCGTAACCTGCCTGCCTGTTTAGTGAGCAAAGAGTACATGAAGAGAGTGCATTAGGACCAAAAGTATTTGCCCTTCTTCTGAGCTGGAATAATCTTTCTAGTTCCTGTGATGTTTAGTCTGATATTTCAGGGCTCTTCCATGAGTCAGCTTGCTGCTTTCAGGGCTCCTCCTTGTTCAAGCCACAAGGCAGCATTGCATGCAGAAATATTTGATCCAGCTGATTAAATTAAACTGTCCATTTCTTGGCTTAGTCATTTTTAATGGGGTTATGCTGCAGAAAGAATATCTGTGTTTGCATCCTTGTAATAACAGACATATTTGAATGGAACACACTTACAGATCAAATGGCTCGTAGGGTTGAAGGCCAAAAAGAAACATGCTGACTCACATCTTCCAGAATCTGGAAAATCTGCCCCTCTCTCTCTCTCTCTCTGCTGAAAATACTGTTTACTTGAATGTGCAGATGTATTTCTTCCAAAGATTTTTTTGTTTGTTTTAGTGTGTAAATACAGGTGTTTCTTCATATCATAAGTTTGAAGGTTGATTTTTTGAGAGACTTTCCAGAACTACCAGAAAAGATGTTAAGGTTTCTGATTTAAATTTAACCAAGCTATTGTTTTAGGAGAAACAATGTATTTTTCATGTAAGGAAAGAGAACAGATGAGTCATGATATCTGTGAGAGACCTTATCTGTGTCCTTCAGAATTGTAATTGATGATCTCTGAGGTGAACAGTTATGCCACTTAGTCTTAGAGGAAGGAAGTAGTCATTGTTAAAACCTAAATGCCTAATCAAAAGTGATGTATCCTGGAGAATTGTTTTTTCTTCTAGTGAAGATGAACCAGAGTTATCAAATTATAGATTCCTCTAGCAGTCCTTCATCCTTTGTGAGCTATTTCTTGAGAATGAAAAATTAAACCTAAAATGTGAAGAACCTCTTTCTGATTGAGTCTTTGTGCTGAGGAGCCAAGGTTGCATTCTGCCAAAAACTTGGCTGTTCAGAGTTTGAGAAATAACTAGAGACTTGTTCTGTTGAATTTGTTGTCAAATGATATTTTGACAAGAGTGTTGGGTTCATGTATGTTTGTGAGGCATGTTTTAGATGTAATGGATTTTAATTGGAGATAATGTAGAGAATGTCTTCAGGGATCTGGGTCTCAATGTACTCTGCTGGGATTGATTTTTGTTCGAGATTTGAAAATTGATGTAACCTCACTGTCTTCTTTTTCTCCCTCTCTTCCTCTCAGGTATCTTATCTTACTTAGCGGACAGACCACCACCTCAGTACATCCATCCCAACACTATAAATGTTGACAACAATCCAGCATTGTCAGTCTCCAACAATCCATCGGCCCTGGATCCCTACCAGCCCAGTGGAACCGTGGGGCTGGAACCAGGGATTGTCTCCATGGACTCCCGCACAGTGAACACACATGGTCCTCAAAATCTGCATCCTAGTGACAGCCATGAGGTAGCACTGGATACTACAATCACCATGGAGAGTGTTTCGAGGGTAACCAGCCCCATCTCCACAGATGGGATGACAGAGGAGCTCACGATGGATGATGTAGCCGGGGATCATTCACAGATCCCAAATGGCTCCCGGAGCCATGAACCTTTATCCGTAGGCACAGTGGGGAGTAACTTGACATCGGACGCTGTGGGACACGGCGGTGTCATTCCCATTCACGGTAGCACTTTGGAACTCCCTGTCGTCATGGAGCCCGACCACATTGCCGGGCGGGTGACAGGGATATCGGACAGCACACTAAATGACTCCATTCATACTGTGGCCATGAGCACCAACTCCGTGAGTGTGGCGCTCTCTACCTCACACAACCTCACTTCCCTGGACTCAGTAGCCTTGCATGAAGTGGGCCTCAGCCTTGAGCCAGTGGCGGTGTCTTCCATCAATCAGGAAGTAGCCATGGGGCCAAGTCATGTGGATGTGTCTGCAGGCAATCTTGCCTTTGTACCACCCTCTCTGCAAATGGAAGACTCCAATTCGAACAAGGAGAATATGGCAACCTTGTTTACCATATGTGAGTGGACATTTCCTGCTTTCTTGGGGTAGGGTTTGTCATGCAGCTGTTGTCTAGTGGGATGACAGGACTCTTGTTGCTAGTTTTACAGATTAATGGTAAAAGAAATGCTGTTTAACAAGTCCATGAAAGTTGGAACATCTGCAGTGCCAGATTAACTGTGCTGAAACGACAGTATTTGGAAGTAGACATAGTAGGATGTTTTAGCATAATTCTCTTTGTATCCCTCTCCCATGTTGCCTTGAGGTTGAAAGCTGAGTCTTTATGAACCTCTTGCCTTCTGTGGATATGCAAATATTATCCTTTGAAATGAGAGTTTTTTGTTTTTAAGGTCACATCACAAGTGCATGAAAAATACACAACAAATACCACCACAAGCCATACATTCAGTCAAGTGGGTATGATTGTTGAGTATGACATTGTATGATTTTGCAAAATTTTTATTAAAACATGAACAATCATCATGAAAATGTTATTCTCAACAGGACCTGCTGGAAAAAAAGAGCAGAGAGGGAAGGAACATTTTAATATTTCTAATTATCCTCATCAAAGCACTTTAGTCCAGAGGTTAGTTGATACGGTAGGGAGAGAGGAGCACTGAGTATTGCACTCTCAATCCTGTTATCATTCAAGGAGTGGTGTTTGAGAACTGTGAAGTTCTCATTTGCTGGGACAGAGATTTGAACTTTCACCTGCAGCGTGAAAGATTCTCGCCTCTGAAGCATAAGGTCAGCTTTTATAATCATTTTTATTAGCTGTGGTAGCACTGCTGAGGGCTGCTCTTCATGCAGCCTGGCCCTACAACTGCCAGGACCTTATGGCTAGCTTTGCCTGAAGAATGTACTTTAAGAAATTGGAAGATAGAGCGCCTTAGTTAGAAGTGGGAGAGGTGCAGTTTGGTGCAAAGTGTCTAGTCAGACAATTGAATTAAACTTTTTGTTCTGTGGGATAAAATGTAACTTAAAATCAGGTGGGCATAGAACTGTGATGAATTTACCACTCCTAAAGGAAGAGTTTTGCAGTTAATGCACTTACAGGTTCCTACAGGCATCTGTTGCATATTGACCAAATAATGATCAAAATACTGTGGAATCCAACATGCTTGTGGTGAAATCACTTCTCTTATTCAAAGTGGGATTGGAAATGCCAGTTTATTGTTGCTGTACTTAACATAGTCCTAAGATGTTTCCCAGATGATGCTCCCCTTTGGTAGGATAATAAAATGGCTGTTGCATGCCTAATGCTTTCATGTGATTTGCAAAACAGATTCTTGACTTGGGAAGGTTTAAATTTTAACTTTGCATTGTTGTTTTTAAACTTCTCATGAATAAAACATGAATTTGTGTCTAGACAGGTGACAGCAAGGACAAGGAGTTGGTTTAGAGCCCCTTGGTGGTTTTTCCTCACTGAGAAGACAGGAGTCAGGGCCTTTTTCAGAAAACTTTTTACACTGTTCTTAAGCAGGAAATAAGAAGTGTGCCTTTGCTACAGTCTTGAATGTTTGTGAAACTTCTAAGTAGCCCCTTTTGTGGTCATATTTGTTGACAGTTCTGGGTATCCAAATCAGAGAAGTAATGACTGTTTTTTTGGGGGGATTATTTGGAAAGGACAGGAGTGGAAAGTGTATTTGACTTTCTGTAGAATGTGAGATTTTTTTTTTTTCAACTTCTTAAAAATATATGAATCCCTGAACCTTTCCAAGTGGAAGTGTCACATGCCTATAACTTTTCTTCCTCTGCCTCTCCTTGGAGCTGTAGTTGGTGTGTGCTAGGCAATGCTTAAAAGCAGCTGTTCCAAATAGTGGTTCTCATACTCAGGTCTGGCTGTTGTCATTGCTTTACTCCTGCATATCACCTGTGCACATGAAGCAATGCTTATATAGGCTCTACCTAATCATTTTTTGAGTACCTTGCTGTCTTTAACTGTGTAGTTGCTCAAACTGTACTCTTCGAGGGTCCGATTCTGGTACTCTGATGTATGAAGGGAATGTCTGAAAATTATCTTTAAACATGTAAGAATGGAGCTGCTGTTTAGGCCTGCTGAAGGCTAGTTCTTCGGTAGGTCTTTTATACTGGAGTTGGGTCATCAACAGGCCAAAGAAGGTCTTTGTGGAGATCCTGATTAGTTAGCTGAGCATCTTTCTTCTTCAGAATAGTGATTCATCAGGAGAGTGGTTGTTGAGTAGGTGTTGGTTGCTCTGTCTGTAGAGAATTAAAATTACATAGTTTTTCTGGATGAAATAATAATGCTGTAGAGAGCATTTTATGATGTACCTTTTCTCAGAGTTATTAGACTGAAGACTTTCAGTGGTTTCTTTTTCAGCAGTACTTCTGCTGAATGACAGATTGGGAAAGCGATGGTACTGATTCTTCTTGGGCTTTTGTTTGTTCCATTCAGTGACATACTCATACTGTATGAGTTTATTGCAGTGAGTCCTTCAAAAGTAACAGTAAAGTGAGGTTTTTGCTGCTGTGAAGATTTACGCAGTCTGAATTCAAATGGAGGTAAGGGGATATGTGGGTTCAAATTAGAAACATTTTAGAAAGAAGACCTTTCTGTCCCCTTGCATGGATATCCTTGAGGTTCTACATGCAAGAAATGTTTCTGGTAAATTCCAAAAATGTATCCAGTTAGAAAGTGTTTGGTTTGGTATATCTTAGATTTTTCTGCCAATAAAGTTCATTTCACTTGTGATCAGAGTGAAAATGGCTCTCACATCATCAGTGTTGCTGCCAGCTCTGGGGAGACTACTCTCCATTTTGCAGTAAGGTTGATGAAAAGTGGACTCTGTCCCATTGCTAGATTCCCCTGCAGGGATACTCTGGAGTCTGGGAAGGTAGGTAGAGATTCTCACATTTGATCTGAATTGGACAGGAACAGTTACATCTATGTCGGTGCCCATCTGACTGTAATAATATGGTCTGTATTCTTCTGAGTAAAACATATTTAGTGGACAAGTTGAACCTGATAGAACCAGACTTTGTCAGGAACTGAGCTGAAGCATATTGGTAGAGAGCTGATTGCACCATGGGAGCTGTTGCATCTTTTTAATCCCTGTTGTCCTTTTCCCTCTCCGCAGGGTGCACGCTGTGTGACAAGGCGTATCCGTCGGACTGCCCAGACCACGGGCCCGTCACCTTTGTCCCTGACACCCCAATAGAGAGCCGAGCCCGGCTTTCTCTCCCTAAGCAGCTCGTCCTCCGGCAGTCTATCATGGGAGCTGAGGCGGGTAAGGATCATGTTACTGTGTGTTTCTCTGCAGCAGTTTAAAGTACACTCACTGCCTGAAATCCAAAACCATGGGGATATTAATGTGGGAAAGAAACACTGGAGTAGAGAGGTGCTTCCCTCGTCTGTAATCACCCTGACTTACATTATCCAAGAGCTTCTTGTGCTCTGGTTACTGCGTAGACTTCAACTATACTGTAAGGCTGTTGCCATAGTGTGGCACATCATAAGGTCAAGCACAAGCAAGATATGGTGTTTATTTTTATCGTGTTGGACAACCCAGGCACAGCTTTGATAAGAAAACATTGCAGCAGTTTCTGTTTGGGAGAAGGCAACAATTAGAAATAATAGAGGAGATTTCTGTCTGCTCGTTCATCAGCTTGGTTTGCTACCTGTGGGTCTTCTGGACTTCTGCAGTCTCATTGGAGTATTGATCATAAGTGCCTCTATTTTTTTCCCTCTCTTCATTTACATTTGGCATGTAGGCTGTGACCTTGTCACTGGATGTGGACCTTGTTACTGTATTTCACGCCATTGTCACCTGGAAATCGAAGAGTACAGTGCAATACCCTAAGGATCTGAAGGCTAGAGGAGAATGTGATTATTGGCTTGCTTAGTGATGCTGCTTTTTGAGAGTAGATTACATCTTTTCAAGCTGCACTAGTTTCCAGTTTATTCCTAAAAGCTACTCAGTGTATTCATGTAGATCTATATATATAAATGTTTAATAATAAATAATATACATGCAGGAATCCCTCTGCCCATGACAGAAATACAGCTGCCTCTGGGAAGAAATGCACAAGCTGTTTAACAATGCCCAGCAACAATTCTGGAAATTCCTGGGGATTAGGTAGGCAAAATGTAGTTACTGAAATTAGTATTTTCTGCTTCTGCAGAAAGTGCCATGAAAACTTTAGTTGGTACAAGTGGCTAGGATGTTAGTTTTATAGCTTACTGAAAAGTAAATTACTTACTTCTGACAAAATAAATATTTATAATTAGAACAAAGTGGCTCCCAATAGTGTCATGTGGTGGTGGTGGTTCTTGTCTCTGCCTTAGGTGTGTTTCACATGTGAAGTAGAAGCTTTGATGATCTTATGCCTAGATATTATCCCTGGAGCATTATCTCATAAACCTCCCACTTCTTTATTATGCATGATTAGTTGTTTAAACCATTTAGTTCTTCAGATTTGGGTCTTCTCCTGATAGGTGTGTGGACACGAGAAACCATTCCTGTGCGGACTTGTTTTGGACCTTTGATCGGACAGCAGAGCCATTCTCTGGAGGTGGCCGACTGGACAGACAAAGCAGCCAGTCACATCTGGAAGGTCAGTGGGTATTCTGCTCGTAGATCTGCCAGCATGCCTTTATCTGGTGAAACTTGCCACATGACACAGCAACTTCAACATTGTCATCCTTGCCAAAAGTCAAAAGTAAAGCAATTTGATTGTTTAATGCTTAATATCAGCATAACAGAGCTGTATACCATGTAATATGGTGGTAATCAACTCTGAAGTACAAAAATCTTCTTTAATGCCTTTTTTTTTAATAGGGCTATATGTGGTTTCCACTGTTTGTGTGGAGTTGCAGCAGAGATTGTATACAATTCACTAGGCAGCACTTGTTTGTTTCATATCACTGTTTATTGAAAGTTCCCCTAGGTGATGAATGATTTGTTTTAGGAAAGATGCTTTAGAGCTTTCTTTTCCCCATCATTTCATGTTCAGAAAATAAACTTGTTTTATATAAATAAAACATGTACTGTTTGCCCAGATATTATTATTCACAAAACTTGGTTTGTAAGAAAAGCAGTCAAATGCATTTCTGGTGGGAGCTAAAGGTGATGTATGGGAAACAAGCTGATAAACAGGTTTTCTAGCCTCCTGGGTAGCAGAGAAGTCAAGATTGCTGTGTGAAGAGGAAAATAAGGAGTAAAAACAGGGCTGTGGTCTTGACAATGGCAGTGGAGACTTCTCAGCTTGTTCTAAGTAAACACATCCTCTCTTAAAGAAGCTGGCTTTGACTGCATTTATTGTTGTACTTTATCCTAAGATTGCATTTGTTTTCCTGATAGATCTATCACAGTGGTGTCCTGGAGTTCTGCCTCATTACAACTGATGAAAATGAATGTAACTGGATGATGTTTGTACGCAAAGCCAGGTGAGAACCACCTGTACTGTGCTAAGTAGCTTTGAGTCTTGAGCTGCAGGCTCATAGAAGGCTGTACAGAATAGAGAAAGAAGGATCACAGAATATTCTGAGTGGGAAGGGACCCACAAGAATTATCGAGTCCAACTCTTAAGTGAATGGTCCATAGGGATCAAACCCAGACCTTGGCAATATTAGCACCATGCTCTAACCACCTGAGCTGATCTCAGGGTGTACTGGAGAGTGTGCACTGCTGCACTGCCTGCCCAGAGGGGTGTGAGCTCGGGGCCAAGGGACCTTCAAGAGTTACCTGGGCCTCTTGAACTGGGGGGGAGAATGAAACAGAAGACCCAGTGGAGAATGTTACAGGAGAACTGGTACACAAGCTGTCCTAAAATAGCCCCCAACTTGCCCCCATACTTTGTTTCCCTTGTTCTAAAGCTTTAAACGAGGTTCTTTTTATAGTAACTTATTGTGTATTAGGTTGTTACTGCTTTTCCTCCCTATTCCTTTTGGATACGTCTGTGAAGGTGATGTTGATTGTCCTTTTGATTTTAATACTTTATTAGCAAAGTGTGCCTGGGTTCTTTTGGCCAAGTTCCAAGCTCTTACAGCTTGCAAAAGCTGTCCTTTTCAGTCTTTCCAGAGCCTGCAGTGAAAACTATCTGGACTGGCTTAAATATTGCTCCATCCATAGTCCACTGAGAAGGCTTTGCTCTGTGACACAGAGTAGGTTTCTCCTAGAGTTCATTTCATTGCTGCCATGTTCAAGAGTCAAGAAATGTAATGCTTGATCTCCCACTGCAGTGGGGCAGTTTGCTGGTTTCAAACACTGGGAACAAACATATGCAAGATACTGCTTCAAAAGATCAGTGACCACATCTTGGAAGTGGAAATCAAGAGGATTTTTTTTAAGATAATTTTGCTTTAAGGCATTACTGATATTTTCTCCCTCATGCATTCTCTATTTCTTGAGGGGGTTAATATGAAAAATACATAGATTTCTGTAGTTTCTTAGGAGATCATAAACTCTCTTCTCTCAGCCCACTCCAATGTGTATTAATAATATTCTCAGCAGTAGTGTGAAAAATGCATCATTTGGTGGAGCAGATTGGCTCTCAAGGTCCAGTTTTCCTTTCCTTTAATAAAGAAGGACAGAAGTGACAGACATGAAAGTTTTCATAATATGCTGAGAAGCACCGAGGTTCTCTCACTACCTATTTATAGGAATCTCTGTCTTTCTCTCTCAAAAATCAATACTTCTGGAGGGCTTTTATTCATACCTCTTGTTATTGCTATAGGAACCGGGAAGAGCAGAATCTGGTAGCTTATCCTCATGATGGAAAAATTTACTTCTGCACCTCTCGGGACATCCCACCTGAACATGAGCTTCTCTTTTATTACAGTCGGGACTATGCACGACAGCTTGGTAAGTAAGCCCTCATTTTTGTTGGCTTTGCAGGGAGTACCCAGCTTGGATTCCCTTTAAGTGCCATCCCTGGGCGCTGTGACTTGGGAGTGCATTATGTTCCTTCTCAATTCCTATTGGTGCATGTCATAGTTTCCTTTTACATTTCATGACTACAGAGTACCATCTTTTAAAAGAAACATTCCCCTATCTAATTCCACTGATCAGGAGTAAAAGATCACAGTTTTGAAGAAAGCGTTGTTTTTCTTCTGTTCATCCACTAAGGGATCCTAAGGGAGTTTTGCTAGCTAAAGATGTTCCTATCCTCCCTCACCTGTGGTTGTGATAATTTAGATTTGGTGGAGCTGTGCTCAAAACTGTTTCAAAGTTTGGCCCCTCAAAACATTTGAAATGACCTACCTAAAAGTGTTGAAAGGCAAGCACTGTAGCTGAAAGGAACAAAGGTGAAAAAATCTCTGCAGCTGGCTTTGCTACCACAGACAAAATGTTTACATGAATCTTGCTCATGCTCTGTTAGGCCTTACCATGCCTCATTAAAAGTGATGCTTTTGTGCCCACAGGTGTCCCTGAACATCCAGACGTGCACATCTGCCACTGTGGAAAGGAATGCGCTTCCTACGTGGACTTCAAGGCCCATTTGAGCAGCCATATTCACAACCACCTCCCCAGTCAGGGGCACAGCAGCAACCATGGGCCAGGCCACGGAAAGGAAAGGAAGTGGAAGTGCTCCATGTGCCCCCAGGCTTTCATCTCCCCTTCCAAGCTCCACGTCCACTTCATGGGGCACATGGGCATGAAGCCGCACAAGTGCGATTTCTGTAGCAAAGCTTTCAGTGATCCCAGCAACTTACGGACACACCTCAAGATACACACAGGTAAGGGTTGGGGGCTTTATAGAGATGCCTCTGCTAGGAAATCATTGGGGCAGGGTCTGTTTTCTCTTGTTCCATGGCCAGTTGGCAGAGCAGAGCTTGTGTCCGTAAATATAAGCTCTTAGAAACACAGAATCATAGAATATTTTGGATTGAAAGGGACCTTTAAAAATAATGCTCCAAACCCCCCCACCATGGACAGGGACATCTTCTGCTAGATCAGTCACTCCGAGCCCCATCCAGCCTACCCTTGAACAGTTCCAATGGTGGGGCATCTGCAACTTCTCTGGGCAACCTGTTCCAGTGCCTCACCACCCCCACTGTAAAAAAAAAAAAAAAGTCTTCTTTATGTCTGATTTAAATCTGTTTTCTTTCAGTTTAAAAGTATTGCTCCTTGCCCCTGTTACTACACGCCTTGGTAAAAAATCTCTCTTTCTTGAAATCCCCCTTTAAGTATTGAAAGGCTGCAATAAGGTCTCCCTGGAACCTTCTTTTCTGCAGGCTAAACAGCCCCAACTCTCAGCCTGTTTTCACAGAAGAGGTGCTTCAGCCCTCTGACTATCTTCATGGCCCTTCTTCAGACCTGCCGTAACATCCCCATGTCTTTCTTGTACTGGGGACCTTAGAACTGGATGCAGTACTCCAGGTGGAGTCTCAAAAGAGCAGATAAGAGGAGGAGAATCGCCTCCCTCAACCTGCCTTTCTAAGAATGGATTCTTAGATTCATGTCTGTCTACAGGAATGATCTCCAGTCCATGTTGACCCCACTTAATGCCTGAGCAGTGCCTGAGAGAGCGCCGGTTGGGTGGGATAGGACTGAGCTGGATTCAGTGGTGTGGGTGCTTATAGAACAGTACGTAGACCTGTGATTTGGTTGATTGTGCCATGTCTAAAAGCATTTGATGATTGCATCTAATAGATTGCAGTTGGGAAGAAGTGTTGGCCTTCATCTGGGAGACAGAAAACCTTTGTTCCCACACAGCAGGTCCAGTGCTGGTAGCTGCGATAAAACAAGGGTTCCCTTCTGCTCACAAGAAGGACTGGGTTTGAGAGCTATTAATGTGGCCAGTTGTCCACTTAAATACAGGCCTGAGATCTTTCCTATTTGAATTGGTTTTTGTCTTAAGGAAATGGCACAAAACTGAAATTGGCAACTGTAGCATCAGACTGTTATGTATTAGGCTCAGCTGTGTCACTCATCAAAACTGAAGTCTGAACATGCTGTTGACTTCTGTGGGCATTGAGGTATCACTAGAGACTTTGGGGATAAAGGGGGAATTGCCAGCAGATCAGGGAATGAGCACTAACAGAGGAAAACAAAATAGAGACAGATTTTTCAGCTGTGTAAGAAGAGAGGAAATACGAAAAGGCATGGATTTAACACTGAGTGAGGACAGGGGAGAGGGTGAAGGTCAGGTTACAGGCCAGCAATTGACAGTTGGATATTTTTGCCTCTTTTTTTTAGTAAGGTTTAAATACCTATTGGGAATCAAAGAATGCAAGTTACTAAACTGGAAAAGGAATAAAACTGGGGGTTTGGTGCCTCAAGTCAAGCATAGGAAGCTGTAGGCTCAGTAGTCAGGAGTTTTAATAAACTGATCAACTACAAATGTGATATACACAACCTCAGAACACTCAGTGGGGTGGGATTCAAATGGTATTCAAACTTAGTCTGAATTCAGTAGCATGTAGGGCTTTTGAACTATTTCTGGCAAAGAATAGTGGAAGAACTACAGATAAGTGCAAAAATGGGATAAAACATAGAAGTTATCAAAGGGCCAGTGAGCTTTGTACCTGTGTGTTTGTTAGATAAGAGAACTTGTTTTTGTAGACAAAGGCAATGCAGTACTTCAAATGTGGCTGTGCTCTGGTAAGGCATCAGATATGGTTCCTGTGGGAAATGGGATGTGGAGATGGGGATGTACTAATGTACAGTAACTAGATGGTTACCATGGTTACTATTACAAAAGAAGCTAACATTGTTTTTACTGAAGAATTCATCTTGGATAAGACTAGTCCTGTTAAGTGTTTGCCTGAATCTCTTCACTGAAAAATTTACAGACCTGCTGGGGCTGTTCTGATGTACAGAACAGGGAGGCACAGTTGGTGTGGAAGAAGCAGAAAGCTGATCACACAGGAAAGGCTGACTGACCATGACTGACCAGTGGAGGAAGAGGAATCAATGGTGTTTAGAAGGACAAAGTGCAGAAACGTGCATCACACAAGGGGCTCGGTGCTTTGAAACAGTATCATGAAGTTTTTTTGGCTTGGAGGCATGGGGGGTTGAAAAGCTTTGGGAATGTTGAAGTCAAATGCCTGGTTTTTCCACAGCTAGATCTAGACTGTAGAACTAAGTAGGCCTTTATGCTGAGTCTGAAGGAACTGCAGGAGGAAACAGGTCCTCTTCACAAAGAATGTGCCTTTCTTCGGGGTAACATTTTATTTTTCAGCAGTGGTTAGGCTTGTTTGCTTCCTGTATTTCTTGGGACACTGACTGTCAACTTGTGGGTGTATGTGTGTAATCCCAGGTCAGAAGAACTACCGCTGTACCCTCTGTGACAAGTCGTTCACCCAGAAGGCCCACCTGGAATCGCACATGGTCATCCACACCGGGGAGAAGAACCTCAAGTGCGATTACTGCGAGAAGCTGTTCATGCGGAGGCAGGACCTCAAGCAGCACGTACTCACTCACACGCAGTAAGTGATTAAGTGATCTCACAGGGTGAGTGCAGTAAATGAAGCTGAACAGCCCAAGAGAGAAGCTCCAGTTTGTAAATAGTTTGGCCTAGGGAGTACAGATCGGTTCACTCTCTAAAACGACAGAGAAGTCAATCTGGACAAAGTCCTTGTTGTACTGGCTGCAGTTGTCCAGTTCTAATGTTTGCAATGTTTTAATGACACAGTAAATTCCAAGCATGCTACTTGTCTTGTGAAATGGCTGTCTGAAGTGTTCATCATTTTGAACTGAGAGGGGGTTGTTGGACTTACACTTCGTTCTCTGCTGAGAACTGCTTACACATCCCAGTGTGACCACAGAAAGACCATAAACTCCTCACTGCTATTTTCGTCAAGTAGCTTGTTAGTGAACTCTGCCTCTATGCACTAGGGATGGGGTGCTGCAATTCCCAGCCCTTTCCTCCCTGCAGGTCTCACTCAAGCACTTGGTCTCCTGCTCCTCCTGTAGGCAGATCCCTACCCACAGCCCTGTGCCAGGCCAGGTCTTTTGCTCTAAGAATCTCTCCATCCTCTATATTTTTACCCCCAAAAAAAAAAAAAAAAAAAAAAAAGAAAAGCCTAGTCTTAAAAACTTACTTCCCCAAAGCTAGTTCCTTTGCTTATTTCATTTTTAGCATCTGGTTCTTGTACTCACTTGGAATCCATTGCTGCTTCTGTCATGCTGCCTAGGAGACAGTGGTAGTAAGCATGAGCGAGAGGCAGACAGACTTGCCTGGCTGCTTGTTCCTACAGCCTGAGCCAGGAGCACTACTGCTGGGAGGTATTTTGCACTGTCATCTGCAGAATTTGTTGCAGTCTGGTAAGCTCCTCAAGCTTAGCATTTACGGACTGAGGATTGTTAGCACTCAGCAACTTAGTTATCTTATTTCTTCCCTGTGCCCCCTGCCCCCCATTTACGAAGCATGGGAAGGAGCGAGACTGACCTTTCCATCAGGGCAACACCTCTGCTCTTGCCAAAACATGTGCCTTAACCAGTCTTTTAATACTATATCAGCTGCCTTGCAGGAGCAAACTCACTTTTTTATGTCTTGCAGAGAACGGCAGATCAAGTGCCCCAAGTGTGACAAGCTGTTTCTGAGGACAAATCACCTGAAGAAGCATCTCAATTCACATGAAGGAAAGAGGGACTATGTCTGTGAAAAATGTTCCAAGGCTTATTTAACCAAATATCACCTCACTCGCCACCTAAAAATATGTAAAGGCCCCACATCCAGCTTGTCAGCCCCAGACGAAGAAGAGGAGGAGGATTCAGAGGAAGAATTAATAGACTCTATGAGGACTGAAGACTGTAGGATTAACAATGGAGTCTATTCAACAGGTGATGCCCTCTCTGGACACAAATGAAGAAGAGAGGGACATTTTCTTGGATAAGTAGGGAAGGAAAAAACCCTCTTCCTTGTTTCCCCAATCAACAGTGTATGTCAGGTGAGGAGTTTTCCTTCTGTTTTGGTCTCCACACTACCACCACTTAATATACTCTGTAGCCAAAACACTGACTGAGACTGGATCATGCCTGCACAAGTGAAGAGTTTCTAAGAAGGAAATGTGAGGCAAGGAGATTTTTTCACACACGCTGTGCATACTTCTCCAAATCACTCAGATTAATTCATCCAGTGTTGGGACACATGTCACACCTTGCAAAGGCCTTTAAGCAAAAAGCCACAAACCAGAAATGTAGTTGAGTGATTGCAGTGAACTGTAAGCCAACTGTCCTTTACTGCCCAAGCCATGACATGAAGAGAAACAAACAAAAAATGTATTTTGTTTTTTTAAAACCTCTTAACTGGAGGATGTGATTTGGCACAAAGACTTAACAATGCTCAGGTTTCCTTCTTAAAACAAAACTCTTAGGTTTAAAAAGGAAAGGCCAGTGAAATCAGCCCTTGCCATTACCCCACTACAGAGAATCAAATATTGGCTTTTGGATAACAGTTATTGCCTCCTCTCCCTCGAGTTCACTAGAACATGTAAGCAGGTGTAGAGATAAAGACTGTATAGACTCAGTAAGGACGAGGCTTACAGACGATCAGGCAGTGTTTACAGTATATATTACTCCTTGTGCTGTAAACCTTTTACCACCTAGAATGATGGGAGGGTTTGCTGCTAATATTATTTATGGAATGAAGATTATTACATTTGGTTGTTTTCTTTTGAAATAATTAAAAACGTGGCTCTTCTCAAATGTTCTTTTTTTAATATTTACATATTCTGAAAAAAAAGTTCCTATTTCTATAAATATGCTAAGAGAAATAACAACACTTTTTAATCACCTGCCTCTCACAAGCTTTCCCTGGGACATGAAAGGGTAGGAGCACCTCCATGAATAGGTGCAGCTGAAGAACTGGTCTTTAAACCCTGTAGATTTACTGTGTCACTCCTCTGGCTGTGCTGCAAAAGAAGAGTCAGCTGAGCTCTGTGCTCTTGACAAGGTAATTGGAGGTTCCCTTGTGAAAGAGGCTCTGCTTCTTGCCCTAAATGGCCCAAGCTCAGCTGTACCTTTCTCTGTCCCCTGTATTTCCTTGAGAGCTCCCAGGGTTCTTCAAACCTGAAAATGCTTGCCCTCAGATCAGTATGTGGCTAAAAAGCTCCAGAGAGCCAAGTTGTGGGATTGTGTTAAGTCAAGGGAAAGATGTGTTGCTTCCAGTAATGCAATTTCCTCCTGAAACATAAAGCAACTTCTAGAGCTGCAGTGCCAATTATAATACTAGAGGTATAAGAGAAGTCACTACCCTCAAAGAGCTTAACACAAAGCATTTATTTTAAATTAAAGCTGTAAAAAAATTTAAGCTTTTCACTGGAGAGCACTTGAACAGAAGTGGTTCTCACTACTGCTTGGCAGAGACAGGAGGGAGGCAGGAATTCCAACCCATCCAGAGTATTCCTGCAGAGCCATGCTGAACACCTGTCATCAGATTAGAAACAGCTGAACTGGATTTAGAAGCAGCCACTTACCCTCGAGGGATAGGAAGGAAAGATCTAACCCTTTTCCCCAGCCTTTTTCCCATCTGCAGTTTGCAGTGTTACAATTTACTTGCTTTACCTCACCAGAGTGAGTTACAGTGCTTAGGGTGGAAAGCAGTGGGAAGAGCTTGTCAGCTACGAGCCGTGACAGTGCAGCTGCTTTGACACCAGTGGCTTTAATACCCAGGGCATTTTGCAGACACCTTCAGTGTGGGAAGCACTTCACAGGAGGAGGGTAAGAGTATCATTTAACTTCTCGGCCTGGGGTAAGCCACTCGGGTGTTCCATTTTAAATGCGAGGAAATTGTTGGAGTCACAATCCCTGATTAGGTTCCTGATGCTGGAAACAAGCATCAGGTGGTGGCTCAACTGATACTCAGAACGTTCCTGTGCCTTCAGGTGTTGGGCAGAAACACCTGGGCAGGGTGCTGAACACGAGTACATAACACAGAGCTTTCACCAGAGACAGGGACCTGCTGAGATCCCAGCCCTAGCTTTGTGTCCTGACAGCTTCTCATCCTTTCCAAATAGCAGCTCCTCCTTTCAGTTCAAATTCTCTTAAAATATATTACAGTTGGAGCTTGAAGAAAAACTCAATACCTTGTGCAACATCAGTCGACTTCAGGTGCTGTGGAACCAGGGAAAAGAAACACCCAATCTTGATGGATGGAGCTGGGATATTTCTGGTTTGACAGTGGTGAGCTGAATGTTAGAAATACATTTCAAGATTCTACTGGGGATGCCATTTTATTACCTGAGAACTACTCTGGAGATTTAAAAAGTTACATGGAAGATATTTTAAAATCTGTATTAGAAATCTGTAAACCTAGCCTCAAGGATAAATTATCTATTTACACTTGTCATTTAATTCAGCTTTTGTTTATTTATTACACAACTGTCGGGTGAAGTATTTTTTCTTGTACCCTTAGAAGGCAGAAGATCAAAACCTTTGCAGTATCTAACAAACTTCTGGTAGCCACAGAGTGCTTTTCTAGTGACTGTTTCATTTTATATGTCAGCTTTACACATGGTAGCCCCTGTTTCAGGGATCATTATCTCAGGCAAAAGCAAGTGATTTAATCTCTCAAAGCCGGTAACAGAGGCAGGAACTTAAGAGTTTAAGCACACCACCATGTTTCTTTGAGATGAAGAAGCCTGCAGATTGCAAGACACTAGAGCCATTTCCGTGAACTCTCACCTAACAGGGGGATTTGTAGAATACACATTAGTCGTAGTCCCGTTAATTAGTCCTATTTTTTGATGTTTGGCCCATCATGATTCCATTGCTGTCTCCGAGTCGTTGCTGCTCCTGCTGGCTGTGGAGCTGGAAGCCACGGAGTTGGCACTAGCCAGAACCAGTCTCTCTCTGTTTCCAAAAACTTCATTCACTGCAATACAGACAGGGGATTGCTTACATGTTATTCTCCCAGAGACAAGATGAGTACAGCAAGTATAGCATGGTGAACACCATGGAATGGAATGGAAATCCTAACCTGGTGCAGTTTCAAAGCTTTTCCCCTTGCCCCAAGTAGGGACTTGGAAGGTTACATGTCAGAAAAATCATCTGCATATGATACTTTAATTACAATTCCTGTTATTTTTCCCCCAGAGCATCTAGAGGTTTTCCTCTGCATAATTCTGTACCCAAGTAGTGTGAAACGGATGAGGTTTGAAGAGCACAACATTAAGTTTAAATAATTTATTTCTGGTTTTAGTCTCTCTGGGTTTCCACCAAGCTCTTAAAAGGCTTCTCCAAAAATTCATGCCATTTAGTTACATGTAGCTACAACAACTGATCTACCCAGTCCTCACTTTTATTCCCACAAGTACTGAAAGAACGTGGTACCCGATTACACCAGGAACATTAAGAAAAAATAAAACAGATATAAGAAATCAGGTGTTATGCTTCAGCTACAAGAAAATAAATCATGTCAAACAGTTCTCCAATTTAGAAAAAAAAACCCCACTTTTTGAAGCTGAAAATGTGAACACCATAGGCAGTCATTGGGTATGTAAAAACACTAACCTACAGTTTCTCTCAGAGCCAGAATACATTACTGAATACAAATATATCCTGCAGGCAAGGGGAGAACCACAATATTCAAAGAAATGAGAACATTACCTGCAGAAAGCTTGCTTATATCCCAAACACGCAGCCCTTCTCGCTCTCCTCCAAAGGCAAAAACAAACGGGAAGTCAGGGCAGCAAGCTGCACAGAAGAGAACACCCTGGGAGGGTGGAAGAAAGAAGAGGATTATTTTTTTAAATATCATCTTTCTAAAATGAATTTGTCATCTGAAAATACTTTCTACCAAGCAAGTTGTAACAAATGTAATCTCTCTAAGTTTCCCAAAACTTCTTTTGTAAAGACACAAAATGAAAGTCAGGAGCTGCTAAGTATAAACAGTAAATCACATCTTTGTCTTGAATGTGGCAGGTGCAGGCTGGAGCACCTATAGTTCTACTCAGAACATTGTATCTGGAATTCGGGTCTGAGGCTTTGAAGCAGTCTGCCAATTCCATGTTGAATACTGCACTGGAATGAGAATGATTTATCCAGAATATACAGATGTTTTTTCCCCTAAAAGGTGTTAGGTAAAACAAGATTCAAACCAGACAAAAAAAGAATAAGCAGACATAGTTTATATATAAAACTTACTGGAATCAAGAAATAAATATTACTATACCATTTTCATATCCCTGGAATGGACTAAACTTGGTCTGTCTCCCAGGATATCCCAAATTTTCACGTATTTGTCAGCAGATGATGTCACAAGGCACCCTTTAACCTGACTGCTTAGTTGTAGCCCTGGAAGATTAACAGTGCAGCCATGTGAGAACCACTGTTTCACAAAGATGAGGATACATTTTGAAGTGAAGTCATGAGAACAACCTCAGTATTCTCCTCACACAAAACTCTGTTCCAGCACAGAGGAGCAAAACATTAATGAAAATTTCATCCTGCTCCCTGTAGTGAGATTAAAAGCACTGTGTAGGCCTATGTTGTCTCTGAATCCAACAACAGTAACAGTGCAAAGACATGCTTTTTCTACTTCTTACTTAACATAATCTGCTTCCCCAGGTAGCTTTCTTCATTCATTTGCCAAAGACCATCTTGCTTGCTGTCCAAGATGATGGGGCATGTTCATACAATCTCATTTTAGACACCTGATCAGGGACTTCAGGTTCCTTTTTGGAAGCTCCTACACTGACCAAATTAAAGTAGCCTAAAGGAGGCAGTGTGAAAACCTTCCTGTGTGCCATACCTAAATCATCCTCAGTGAGTCAGTATAAAATAATTACAGGGAGAGTAGGTAAACATTATAGTTCATAATCCTAGACCAGATTCCATTGTTTTTGTATTTCCTCATCAAAAAAAAACCCAAAAACCACAAAGAGTGTGTCCCAAGTGAATTAGTCTGTTTTTAAATGCTTATTCATGACAGTCACTGAGGAAAGTTCACTATTGTTAAAATACTTTGCTTTCAATGGCTTCTCAGCAGAGATTTGTTTCACATGCCACCTACCATGATTAGCATGCATGACTTAATTTTAAACAAGGAATCACTACCACCTCAGTCCTATAGGTTAAAGGCATCTTCCAGATGTGCTTTGCCACTGGGGACAAACAGGACACACAGGCAGTTTACCTGACACCTCTTCATCGTGGGCTTTCAGAGTAAACAGGGGCTTATCAGATCGAGCATCCAGACAGTACACAAAACCATCCTCTGTGCTTGCCTGAGAAAACCACAACGTTTAAAAAACAAACAATCATTGTCATTCATTTGGAAAAAAAACTTCCTATGAAATAATACCCACCCTCAAGTAAATCCCTGTGATCTGAGGCAGACACTGCTCTGTAGGGCATGTTACACTGTTCCTAGGCCTGAGCCTCCGAAGTCAGGCTCCATCCACTTGCTGCCCAAGCCATTCTACATACCTGAACTATGCTGCACTGCATTACATGGAAGTCTTAATCATACACAGATTTTTTGAAGTGTACTTGAAGACAGTTGCCCTGCTAAGCTTGGCCCCCATGTTAGGCAATGAAATACAAAGCCTTTAGTCTCTTCACTGTCAGTTCAAAGTTTTTGGAGCCATCCAGTGGTCCTGTGCAAAGCTAAGTGTGATTATACTGAGAGATCTACATCATAAACCCAACAAAACTAAGCAACCACTTCTGCTGGCTGTATACACAAAGCAACAGAGAACTAGACA